TTCACACTGAGCATCTATTTTAAGTACAAAGTACTATTACTATAAAAGATTTGGGTAAAAAATACACTGATACACTTGTAATTAGGAGAAAATCACTATCTTGAGATTTTAAGTATGAGCTGTTAACAAGACATATTACATATATAAATGTATCATCCATTAAATGTAATATTGTAAGTTACAGTTACTTGCTAACTAATGTTTTTAGCATTGAGATGTATAAATCCAGACAACTTAATATTTTCTGCTAAAATCATGCATGAGCTTGAAAAAACAACAACACAAGGATAGCTGTTTATGCATAGCTTTCATAATAGATCCAAATATAAATACAAAGTAGGACTAACCTACTGTTGCTTTTATATAAGTAGTGAGACAATTATTTTGTGTTTTTCAAAGAAATATATGTTCAACACAAAATATTTTAGAGAATAGATTATCTAATGTTTAGATATGTGTTTTTATCACCAGTTGTTGGCTCATGCAGATGATATGGATCATAATTCATGGATGCAGTGGTGAGCAGTTATATACCCAATGCAAAATAAAATTCAGGCTTCAAAAAATATTTTCAGACCTAGGAGCTAGGTGTCCCTAACTTAACTTCTACTGTTTGTACTGTGAAATGGGGGCTACTTATTTTATTTACTTTCACAGCAATGAGTGCATGCCAACGATCACATGATATCGACAACCACTTGGTAGTATTGCCTGAACTAACTGCCTTTGGTCCCGTCTGAGTCTAAACACATGCACTGATTGGTTGAATTGAGAAAAAGAATAGAAACAAAATGGGAGAAAATACTAGGTGCCACAATGAAATTTTTAGTTACCATGGTGACCCGATGCCCGGGATTTGTCGAGGCCTTATATAATCACATTATCCTATATTGTCTTTTCATCTTCTTGTACATTTTGAGCACTATCTTCAGTACAGAAATTCATTTGCCAAATAGTTTAATTTAAAAAGTTTAACATGATTATAGAATAAATATAAAGGGAAACAGATCACCTTGTGTCATATATGTTTGAGTAAATAACTGTACAAGAATCTGTATAATAAAAGTTTGAAGCATTGGCTGTAAACAAAAAAATCCAACTGCATGTTACACATACTTTCTGCAAGGTGCTTTTGCTGTTTTTTTATTGTTTTACTTGTGGACCATTGTTTAACAATTACTGGTCTCTCTTAATTTTCACACTGACCACAAAGAACTTGCAATGTGGCATCAAGAATATATACACTAATATGTAAGCTGTTCAATAAAATAAACATATTTAATTTAATTTAAAATAATATATATATTGTAACACCCACTGGTAAGAATGTTAATATGTCATTTCTCTTGGGATAAGTCATGTAACATCAAGTAAAGACAAGTTTCTTAGTAACTGATAAGTAATTGCTTATTTTGTTATTGTAGTGTATTTGCATACTTTTCATATTAGGTATGCCCTTTACCTTTTTCTTTGTAAGTTTCTGCAGGGTATATAATATAGGTCTTGGGAAGGCAATATAATTAAGTAGTAGTAGGCCTCAATTTTAAAATTAAACTAACCTTTACTGTAGCTGGCAACAAAATGAAATACACACAGTTTTATCCAAATCTTTTCATACACAACTGCTTTTGATAGGCATATGTTTTATGCTTCTAAATCAGTTTCTTTGAAAGTTTTTTCCATCTAAATTTGGCATAGTCAAAATTCATTCCCTGATATTACCCTTCAATTGCTGTATTTGATGAACTGAATTTCAATTAGTCTCAGCAATTCACTCAAACTGGTATACATCACAGTACCAGTGTATATACTTATTAAAGAAAGTAGTCAAGTAGTCTGCAAGTGTAATTAATATCTATCATAGTAATTTATCTCGGATGTTAAGCTACTCTAAACACATTTGCACTATTATGTTTCAAATCCAAAGTTCTCTTGTGGCATATGAGTTTGGGACACTGGTGGTTTGATTTTTGAACAAATTCATAGAAACATATCAGAGTTTTTTCTTATTGATATTTTTCTTGTTATTTTTTATTGAGAATAACATAAAAGCAAATGAGTAACATTTGGTTGTTTCTTTAAAAATTGTGAAATATAATCATGTCAATAATTGATTCTTTTGTGTTTTCCAAATCAAAAATTCTTAGTTTTACTTGAAAATTTAATGCTATCACCATAATTAATGTTCTGATCACTCCTTTGTCACCAGAAGGATTCATTTATTAGTTTCACTATACAATCATTACGCTTCTAGTTTCTACATGAATGGATACCATTTGTATGAAACTTCGACGTAAAAATATATCACCTTTGACATACCAAGTAAAGCTTGAGAGATAAGTGGAATTTGCTGATCAACTAATCATCAGACTTGTTAATTGATTAAATGCAACTAATTGATTATTCTCACATGAGATTAATCTTAGTATTTTTATCGTTTTTCTTAAACTTCTTTGAAATACCCTTTGTTTAATCTGATAGACATATTCAAGTACACAAAGTTATGATTAAGTGAATTTTTTTATCCTTCTATTGTACTACATTAAAATGTATATACAAAGTAGTATGAAACCTAAAATATAATAAATACAGTTCTGTGGGTTTTTCATACAAATTTTTACAAGTATTCTATCAAAATTACTGAAGTTTTGTGGTAAAAATAAATGTTACTTCCTGACATTGACTATAAATCATTAAAATACTAAATATAACAGTGACTAATGAGATTAGTAGTAGGTTCAGGTTAACATAAGTTACACACTCTTAGTTCTTATAGGTGAGTTTATGGTTTTACAAGAACACCATACGGTCAAGGCAATCAATCAGATGAATACTTTAGATATGTTTTCAGTGTATAAAGAAACAACTTAATAGCAAGTGACACTTGTTAGAAATAGAGGAGGATTATCATAGATATTAAGTTGGTCATTATTTTATACATAATATTTCAGTGAGAAGTAAGCCTGAAACATCAGAAAAATGAATAATCTGAACAAACTTGAATTAATCAAAAATAAGAATGATAAATCATAATGGGGATATTTTGATGACTTGGATTGTTGGAATAATCAAAAACAGTAATAATCAGAAACACTAATTTTGATTGATTTTGTGACATTAATCAATTTAATCATAATTTTAATTAATCAATAAATTTTACCTTACACTAATAAATGTAATCAGTGATAATTGGTTAACATTATGTGCATGAGTGTGGTCAAAATGCCTATGCCATGACTACGTTTTACACAATTATACTAAAAAATTTAGTTAAACTACTTTAGTTCCCCAGCGCGACAGTAGTAAGTGTATGGACTTGCTATACTAAAGTCTGGTGTTCAATTCCATGCAGCAGATAGCCTAATGTGGCTTTGCTCCAAAATAAAAACAAACAAATTACTTTATTATCAAAGTATATTAATAAACTTGGAAATAAAATGTAGTTAATAAATGACCTTTTAATATTATATAAAATTTAATTTCTTAATTCAAAAGGAAATATTAAAAAAATGTTCAATACTCATTCTTGTATTTTGCCTGACATGTTCATGCTATAAGCTGTTCAATTTACATTTTGGTACTTCTACCATATGTCAACAGTGTGTAATCAATTGAATACTCAAACTTTACATATTGACAAGCTAGAATATAGAATAAGAACCTCCCACCTTCTTGAGTTGCTAAGATACCTATAATCAGCAAATCTACCAGAGAAGCCCCTCCCATCCCTTCATTCGTTTGAAGCCACTTATATACTCATACCTAACTGTTTCAAGTTTATGTTTATAACCAAAAAAGTGCAGGTTCTAAACCAATTATATCTGATGGTTGTTTGTCAATTTTTATGGTGGGGAAACTAAAAAATCAGTATGAAATGTTGAAGTTTGTTAACTAAAATCAAACAGATATTGTTTTTAGCCTATTTATACCTTAGTTAGAAAGCCAAGTAAACTATAGTAATTTTTAATGTCCTATTCTTGAAATTAAAAATTTTTGGTTTTCTAAAATGCATATTTAAAATTTACAAGAATTAATTTGTGTTTGTCTCAGTTTGAGAGAATCAGTGAGGGTTAATGACCAAGTCTCTTGAGAGTGTTTGTGTTGAGAAAGCTGCAGATAAAATGTACAATGTTAACAAAAACTTTTGATATTCATTTAGTATGTTCCAGAGGCCTCTGTCTCTTACACACACACACACACACACTGGCTGAAAGACTAAATACATAATTACAACTCTCTTACTATCACAGTTACAGTATGATTTTGTAGTTGTATTAAGAGAAATTTGTTTCTTATTATCCAACAAGAACCCATTTAAAAGTGCAGGTATAAAAACAACTAAATTAGCAAACTGATGTTAACAAATCCAAAAAGACAAAAAATTGCACATGTTTAAATGCTTAGGGACTAGTAAAATAAGATGTGGGCTGCTAAAACTAAATGAAAAGTCACAGCACTTTTAAAACTTTTAGAATGCATCAAGCTTAGTAAATAAACTGAAAAAATACAATGTTATATTAATGTAAATTAGGATTTATTTGTATCATTAGAAGGTTCTCATAATTTTGCTTATTTTTTGTCTTATTTATTTTTTAACTCCACTAAAAGCAAAATTGTCAGGCATGCGCTGAAATCTGCATTTGGTCAGCTATTTTTGTTTTTGAAATACTGAGGGGTATTTAATACTTTTTGATCAAAGATATGGTTGTATTAATTTACATATTCTATGCTTTTACTATTTTCAGAAAAGAAAATTCCCAAAATTAATAGTCAAATGGAAATAATCACCTTTGAACTAGTATTTTTACAAAAAAAAGTATTTCAGTTATTATATTTTCTGAGAGCTGTTACTTGTTGCTAATTGTTATATATTTTTTATATATACTACTTTAGACTAAGAGCTTGTTTTTAAATAAATTTTAGTTTCTCTGTTGTATAAAAGTAGCACTAAAATTACATGAGAGATTGATCACCATAACAGTTTTATTTATTATATTTAGTTGAGAAAAATGGAGATGTGTGTATATCAATACTGCATGAGCCTGGTGATGACAAATATGGATATGAGAAAGCATCAGAAAGGTGGCTTCCTGTCCACACTGTAGAAACCATCATGATCTCAGTTATCTCCATGCTTGCTGATCCTAATGATGAGTCTCCTGCAAATGTAGATGCAGCAGTAAGTAACTCACTATGTAGAAAACACCTATATTATTATATATGTTGTTTTAAAAAATACTCCATACCTCTGTGGTGGAAATCTTAAAAAAAATTATTTGGACTAGACCTTTTGGTGTTTTATAATTTGTCGTAACAGCTTTGAGTTAAATATCTGTTATCAGTTATGCATTGCAATTTTTGAATGAGCCTTTTAGTAACATAAGTAACATAACATTTAAAAAATCCATTTGGGGAATGAGAAAGAAACACTGGAAAGTAGGTAGATGTGAAATAAAAGGTTTCACCCTAGAAAATAAAGTTAAGGTGTTAAAGATTTAATGTAATGAAATGAGACAGAAGTTGTTTTAAAATATTTAAAACCTCTGAAAAGTTGTCTTTTAATAACATGAAAAATTGGAAGAATACATTTTAGGATATAAACTTTCATTTTTAAGAATATTCAGTTGGTAAGCCAACACTAGATTGACTATTTTTTGGTATATTAAGCATTTGGGACATTTTCTGAGATAAATAAAAACTGCTTTGTGTTTTTAAAGGATTTAAAAAATAACCCAAAAGAACAATAGCTACATATATTTTAAATCATTGTTTAAATACTTTTTGTAATAAAGGAATTTTCTAATATAACCTAGTACATATTTTAGGACTTATCTTTTTGTCAGAGTATTATATACAAATGAAGTAAGCAGAAAGTTAGTAACCGGTGGTCATTGGGTTAAGAATGACTCGGGGTAGGGAGATGTTTTCTTCTCTTTTCTTTAGGTGTTAGAATTAAATACCTGTTATCTTTAAATACATAAACAAATAAAAAAAAATGTTTAACCATTTGGACAGGGAAAAATACATAACTTAAATAAAGAATCCATGATTTCAGTCATCACAGTTTCAATTTCACTAAATCAACTACAACAATCTTTTTATTCATTTTATCAAAGGTAGCCAATGCAAGCCTTGCTATATTTTGTTTCAACAATAAAACTATTGGATGAAATTGTTTGAAATTTCCTAAGAACTTTCATAAATGCACTTAGTTTAAGAAACATAAAGCCTGTTACTTTTCATAAATTTAGTTTTTTCCATAATGATATTTATAAGAAATGATTACAATATTTATATTTGTTCCAGATTTGAACTTGTTATTTTTTATGATTTAGTACATTATTTTAAAATCTCTTAAGAACTATTTATCATCCAAAAAATGCAAATTTTGTCTGCTTATAATTTGCATTGTAGCCATACTTTTGTTTATTATGCTGAATAAATTGTGAGGTTATTAGCAGCATAAACTTCATACATTTGCTGTAAACTATCATGCCTGTTGGTGGTTATTCTCATTCAGTCCAGTGCAGGCGCACTTTAACTGTACTGTAGATATGATAGTAAGAAAGCTTTTCGGTACTTAAATATGATTTCTTTAACCTTTCAAACAAGTTTATTTCAACATATATCCTGTATATTGTTTCAC